GAATATTATCGACTAAAGTGGTTAAAGTCCATTAAAACTAACTGGTTTTCTAAGTAAATTGAAAATCTAAGTCAAAAATAACAAACAAATTCTGAAATATCGTGTTCAAATACAAATACGTGTTTATTAAGTAGACCGTTGAATATGCGCATGTTATGATTGTTGTTGCAACACTCTCACGTGTTTATTAAAATTGTGAGTAAATTCAATCTGAACGAAAATCCAGAAAGATCAAAACAAGTAAATATTTACGAACAAACATATAATAAATTAAACACAAATATGACAAAATTTAGCAGGAAAGCAAGTTTGCGGAAAACAAGTTTCAAAATTTAACAAATCAACAATTTATGTATTTACGAATTTTTATTATGCGTACGCATTCACATAAACAAATGGATCCCCAATGACCAATATTCATTTATATTGTGTTGCGAGAACGCCGGACTACGTGCGTTAAAGGACGTATTATCAGTTCAGTTGTTTTTAATATTCATATATATGTACATATATATATATATATGATATATATATAAATTTATATTTCCATGACCCTTTCATGAACGCTGAACAAAGAAATAAATATAAAATCAACAAACACCCACAGAGTACATTCGTTTAACATAAATAAGTTCTCTTCAAACAATACTATTCTCTATCTTGCGTGTGCTCTCTCTGTGCGCAAAACCGGCCGCTAAAGCTTGTGGTGAATTTATTAAATCATACATTCAGAACAGTAAACAAAACGTGTTCTCACCACAATTTGACCAAATGTCGAAATGTCATACGAAAGAGAGAAGCCAAAAGTCAAGTAGAATCAGCTGACAACCAGCTTGTCAAATGTTCATTATACAATTTCTATTGTGAAATTAATTGTTTTTATACACATATCATTTCTACTAAAATATTGAAATAATGAGTAATTTGTTGAATATTACCAAGCAAACTTGTCGTTTGTGCAAGTCGACTTTAAAACAAGCATCGGCAAATGTTTGCAAACCAATATTGCTGCTATATCCACGACAGCGTGTGTTTGCGGTGATACCAAGCAGCCAAAGGAAAAGAGTGCACGCGTTGTGGAGTTTGAAAAGAAATTGCGTGCTAAGACACCAATTGGCAAACTAGATGAGTTTCACAACATCCATTCCAAGAGAAAGAACCTCTAAAACATCTCTCTTTTAAATACTATGAATCAATAATTACGGATAGGAATTAGTAAAAAAATATACATAAATAATTTATTTCAATTGGAAACGAATTTTTTCTACAGTACCTACAAACTTACTCAAAAAAATATTTAATATTATACTTTCGCAACCTGTTGCTACAGAGTATAATAGTTTTGTTCACCTAACGGTTGTTTGTATCACCTAAAACTAATCGAGTTAGATATAGGGTTATATATATATATATGATCAGGATGAAGAGACGAGTTGAAATCCGGGTGACTGTCTGTCCGTCCGTCCGTCTGTCCGTCTGTCCGTCTGTGCGTCCGTGCAAGCTGTAACTTGAGTAAAAATTGAGATATCTTTATGAAACTTGGTAGACATGTTTCTGGGTACCGTGAGACGGTTGGCTGCTGTTAAAATTGTTTTTAAAAAGTAGGCGTGGTCCCGCCTCCAATAGGTTTAATATGCATATCTCCTAAACCGCTAATGTTATAATAACAAAATTCAGAACCTCCAAATTTTTTAGAACCTCTATTGACGGTGTGAAAATAGTTTAAATCGGGTGGCAACTCCGCCCACTCCCCATATAACGATACTGTTAAAAACTTCTAAAAGTGCGATAAATCAAGCGCTAAACACGCCAGAGACATTAAATTTTATCTCTGGGATGGTATGAGATGACTTTATAGGAACCGCGTTCAAAATTAGACAGTGGGCGTGGCGCAGCCCACTTTTAGGTGAAAACCCATATCTTGAGATCTGCTCAACCGATTTTAACCAAATTCGGTACGTAACATTCTTCTCATATTTCTATGTTATAGTGCGAAAATGGGCGAAATCGGACTACAACCACGCCTATTTCCCATATAACACCATTTTCAATTCCATCTGTTCAAGCCCCTAAGTACTAAATATGTGGACCCCTGTGCCTACAGTTGACCTTCTACCGAAAATATCAGCCAATCCACAAAGAAATCTCAAACGAGTATACCATTTGACTTTGCCGGAGTATAAAATGTTCGGTTACATCCGAACTTAGCCCTTCCTTACTTGTTTTTGTCATACATTTTTTTAAAAGTAATTTTCTAGTTTTCAAGGAGAATTTTGCATCATACCACAACGATAACAATACTACAAGAGCTACTTATTTTTTGAAGCTAACTATACACTTATTACAAGGCAAATTATCCAGGTGGTTCGATATTAAAAAACGTAATAAATGTAAATCTAGATTGTATAATCTCTGATAAATGTACGCATAAACACATGTATTTTTGAAGAGAATAACCGTTACAACGACGTAGAATGCAGAATCATGGCAATAGCAAAGCGTTTGCCAACACCCAAAAATTTTTTTTAGCGGAACAGCGATATAACTTTTTTTAAACTAATAAAATAAAAATAAATAAAAAATAAAATATTTTCCCATCTCATTTATAATGAAAACGGTACCTCTTAATATTAATATCGAGAACTCAAATTTTAAGAGGCTTCTTTTTTTACTTTAATGAAAGTTTTTAGCCTGTTTATTTCTTTTATCACCAATGTATGTACTTATTTGTATGTATTACTAAATCTGAAAAAGTAACCGACTAACGGTTTGCATCTAAGAGAACACGTTTTGCTAGTTCTTTAAGGACACGTTGTTTGATATAAACATCCTTCAAGTCGAATTAAGCTTAATTAGTAAGAAAATATACCTTTTGTTAAGATCATTATCTCGATATGGCAGGTCAATTTATATAGCATTCGCTCTGAAGAATATGTTCGGAGATTGTAACGTTGGCTTAGGCAATATTTTATGCCAAATTTCATAAAAATATCTTTACAAATAAAATAAGTTTTCCAGACAAGAACTTGATTTGAATTGTTCAGTTTGTATGGCAGCTATATCGTATAGTGGACCGATGTCGGCAGTTCCGACAAATGAGCTGTTTCTAGGAGAGAAAAGGACGTGTGCACATCTCGCGTGTGCACGGTATCTCATCTTCTGAGGGACTAGTTCTTGTATATACAGACAGGCAGACGGACATGACTTAACCGACTCAGTTCGTCACGCTGATCATTTATACATCTATACACGCATGTATATATATTTAATGTTTCCGTCTAGGTGTTACAAACTTCGTGGCAAACTTAATATACCCTGTTTAGGGTATAATAAGTCCGTGGAAAAAGATATCAATAATACAGAGTCACTGAAGCTGGCCTTTTACTCAATAAAGCAGTTGTTTATTTAAAAAGTAATAAATTAATATATTATATAAAATGACGATAGCTCAAGGACGTCTATAATTTATTTTAATTGAGTATTAATCATAATAGCAGCACAAATCATTATAAGCTATGATTCACACATATTTACATATATGGTATATCCTGTATTAATATTTTGGTTTTTTGAAAATTGAAAATCAACAATTTGTATTATTGAACAGAATTTGAATTAAAAATTTAAAGCAACTGTTCGTCGGCAATGCAGTTCTCGCCTTTGTACATAGTATGTATGTATGTAGACAGATTAAACCAACTTCACTTCAAAATACTCATTTGAGCACACATTTTGACAAACCAGAAGCCACGAATAACGCTACTTCAGCAAGAGTGGCGAGAAACACTTCGGCTTGAAACCAATTTGCTTTAAATAAGACGCAATTTTTGTTTTGATTCTTTTTACATAAAATATTTTGGTAATTTATTAGAATATAAATTAACACACTTATTCAGTCTAAATTGTTTACTAACTAAATATTGCTTCAACACAATATGCGCGTAAATATCTGGGTAATATTTTGTATCTTACAAATGCTTAAATGCTAGATAGAAAACAGTATGCTTTGGACTAGAAATCTGAGACGCGACCTCTGCGTTCCCAATCGCCGTAACGTGTTGGTTCGGGCCCAGCTGGACCGCCAATTTCACCTGTGTGTGGGTTCACGCTATTTGGCCATGGTTTCCAGGGGTCCTCTTGTGGCACGGGCCGTCCCGTAATTTTTTTCAAAGAGACTTTCGAAAGAAATTTTCTTGAAAATACCATAGCAGGGCTTTCCGGTTTATGAGCGGCATTTGTCTGATTGCATGTGCACGATGTGGAGAAGGCTGGAGCGGCTGTCTTCCAGGGATTGGGAAAAAAATTGATTTGCTTGCCCGCTGTCTGGCATAAGCGGCAACTCTGCTTCACAATATTGCTCATTGTTGTAAGTTTTGATTGCTATATTTCACAAACACAGATTTTCAATTTAATATAGAAATTTTTTTTTAAACTTTTTCACTTTGTGACCGTTAAAAATTTGTTTTCAGTTTATTTTGGTTTTCGCTTTCAAGCTTTCGACTTGTTGTTGGTTGCTCGTTGCTGAACGAATGTTGCTCCAAAGCGGCGTGCAAGCGCTTTTATACACACTCGCCGAAAACCAAAGCGATACCGAAACCTTGAATGGCATACTCGCAGGTGAGCGCGCAATGGATTTCACGAAGAGCACACCGGACGCTCAGCGTAATTTTGCAGCATGTGTTTGGCGTGCGGAGCGCCGGTGAACTCACGTACGCTTGTTCCGAGTGGAGTGAATCACACGATAGCGGTGGTGGTGTCTGATGGACTTTTCTGCATACGTATGTATGTATGTATGTATGTATGTGGGTATAAACATATCATACGTTGTTGCTGTCACCAGCTGAGCCATCATCACAAAGCATTTCGGCGGCAATTGGTACGTATATCTTATTGAAAACTGATCGCCAGTGATGTTACGTCCTTAAATGCACGTACGCCGCAATATGTAGTACATATATATGTGCTTGCGTATGTACATGTAAACATACCGGAAGGCAATTAGCCAATACACTGGATCGCTCACGTTTTATCTCTCTTTGGTGGCGCTTCACTGCGAAATCGGGGTTGCCCAGCATCAGGTGCAAAAAATGTGCAATATTCCATTTTTTCAATAATCATTCTAATAATATTATATAAGGAATTCTACGAATTTGTCTACTCTCATACATACATACCTATGGATCGTTTTTGGCGGCAGACTTCTGTGCGCGTTTCGGGGGGTTGAAGTCAAATTCAAAGTCCAGTAAACGATCGCATAGTTGTGTGGTTGTTGTTGACTTTTTTATTCTTTTCAAGCTAATGTAGCCCGGTTTTAGAGGATTTTGTTTGCAAAAATTTAGATTTTTGCAAAACAAATAAATTTTCTCAATCAATCAAAATCAGAAAATAATATAAAATAAAAAAAAAATTTAAAATATAATATATAAGTTTAAAAAATTCAAAAAAAAGTTTTTAAATTAAAAATTAAAAAAAATTAAAAATAAGAATTGCAAAAATCTATAAATTTCATTTTTTACGGTAATCTTTCATCACTTTTTTGAGAGAAGAAAACGTATTAGACGTTGAAAGATAATTTCTAGACGGAAGAAAGTTGAGTAACGGTTATTTTTACTGCCAAAACTATGACTACAATATTTATAATGGGGTGGCAATCTGCATAATGACCATCTATGGGATTTAAATTTAAGATTGCTATTAAATATGCTCTTGGTATTATATAGGGTGTCTTAAATTTTTTTTTTTCAACTCCTACTCTCTCAAATGTTTCTATTTGATGAAAAACAAGAAAAAACGTTTACTTCAGTTGCACCGAAACTATAATAGCCTTCACAAATACAAATGATTTTATACCAGAACTTGATTTTGGTCGGTTAGTTGGTATGGCAGTTATATGATCCCGTATCAGCGGTTCCGACAAATATGAAACTTCTTGGGGAGAATAGAACGTGTGCAAAGTTTCAGATCGATATCTCAAAAACTGAGAGACTAATTTGCGTATATACGATAGACGGACAGATGGACGGGCATGGCTAAATCTACTCAGCACGCAATGCTGATCATTTATGTATACACTTTATAGAGGGTCTCCGACGTTTTCTTCTTGGCGTTACAAACCTCGTGGCAAACTTAAAAACCTTGCCGCTTCAGGGTATGAAAATTCTCACCAAACATTAGACCTGTTACTCAACTCTAGCGAGTGTTTTATTTTCATTTAAAAAGCACCCTAATATACATACTTATTTATATAAATGTAGCTAGTATGTGACCTCTCCTGCTGATATGAGCTCTATTAAGCCCACAGTAGCGATTAGTGCCAAAGCCCGCTAATTTAAAACAATTTTATTTATTAATTGCTTTATTGACTATTAATATAATTAAAGGCGACAATAAAAACAAGCAAAATAACAAACAATCTGGGTTAAAAGCTTGATCCCAGTTCACAATTTTTAAAACAAATAGAACATAGAGAAGAAATGCCAAAACTGTTTGCTGCCTTAGCAGTTAAGAAAATAATATTTCAGACCCCAGTTGATATGACAGTAATGTTGCTATTATTGAATCACAAATTGATTTAAGTGGGTTGAATTTTACTACCATTTTACTTTGATACAATATCCCAATTCATTCACAGTATACTTAATTATAATCTAACTTAATCTGCTCTACCTTTTTAGATAATATCGGAGGGAATGTCTTAAAATACGTCACAGGCTATGTACTTATCAGATATATTTTATATAGGTAGACGTTATGAAGGTAGCTCAAGATTTTCTGAAATATTTTTTCTTAACTGTGGGTTTACGGTTATCAGATATTTAAATATTATTACGTTCCAAATTAGGGAATAAATTGAAGTACTGATGTATTTAAACTACACTGATTTGAAAATATTTATAGGGTTTGATACAAATTCGTGTTTATGAAAAGTTTTGGCTTCGAAAATCAGTGAATATGATACAGATTTACAAGCTGGCTTCACAAATAAAGGTATTCAACAATAATACTTTAGTTGAAAACAAAAAAAAATGTTCTTTTATACATTAGGGTTATTCTTAAAAAATATAATTATATCGGCAGCACCATACCCGTGAAGTCAACTATCGGTTAAGTCACTGGTTAATTACCCAAGAGGGCTACCAGAGACTTCTTTTAAAATTCCTATGAGTTTCTTAAGACCGAATTGACAATTATAATGGAAACTCTTGTGTGGGTGTGATTGTTCATCTTTTTCCTACGTTAACGAGTATTGGAGCTGGGCAGTTAAAAGCTATGACATACAATTAAAAAATTTCCGTTGAAGGTGTGTTCAAAGTGTTTTATAGAGACTGAATAGTTAAACTTATTATACCTTTTGTCTAATATAAAACGTTTATATAACTATAGCAGAGAATGTAAAATATTATATTACGTCCTCTGACTATAGTACATACTTATATGATGGCAGATATGCATATACCTTTGTCTGATAGGATATATTTTAATTATTTCGTATGGCTAGTTATTTCGATGGAGGGCAAGAAAAAAAAACTATAGAAATATTATAAAATTTTATATGCAACAAATTAATCAAAATCATTTTTAGAATCCATGAAGAAAACGATTTAATTTTAATTGTTTTAGAAAATTTGCCTTGAATTTATCAAAATTCAACCGTTAATATCTTACAAACGGTGAGGTTTACGAAAAAATCATTGATGACCTTTTTGTAGAGCATTCAATTTTCTACAAAATCTATGAACTGTGATATTTTTTCAAGTAGTGGAAGCGAGATTTAAATTTTTCTATCTGATAATAAGAAAAAAATACAAAACTGTAAGACGCAGAACATTTCCCGCCACAATTAAGAGCTCATACTTGGAGAGACCTCTTTAGAGGTGTCTAAGAACCTATTTTGCAGTGTACCAAGCGAAAAAAATCGATTTTTTTTTTACCCACCCTAATATATACTATGTATGTATATAGAAGACACTGCTGATACTTATAAAATTCGTTTTTTAAATACTATAAGAATTTAAATGTATTTACGTAAATGTTGAACTTGCTGTCAAAATTTTTATTTTAATATAACTAGACTCAGCTGTTGTTTGTTGAGTATTGATTATGTGTTGTTTTGCGTGACGTGTTATAAAATAATATCTCAGAAACTCTATTTGCTCAGTTCGAGTATATAAAGAGCATAGAGTTTGAAAAAATAAATACTTTTTTTTTTGTTTATATACAGTGGTTAGAGCCACAAGTGTAACTTTTGAAGTAAACAAAAATATATTTTGACTTTTGAACATATCTCGATATCTACATATATATGTATCTTATATGTATGTACGTATGCATATATATATGTCTATTTATGGTTATGATATGTTTATCGCCTACAAAGTATTTTGTGGTCTACAAAATTGTAAACAAATGTAAACATAATGTAGCGCACATACAGTACTTACATACGTACATATATACCATACATATACTCGTATAATTATACAGACGTGTTCGACCCTTCCTACCCTAAACTATTTTCTGTTTTGCCTCCAGCGGTTGTGCAATTATTCCACGATTTCTTGATTTATTAAAGTTCATTTGCAATGCTTGTAAATGAATAATAAATATGTACTTATAATATATTCATATCTTTTCAATTCAACTATTGACGTTGAATATTTTATAGAAGTAGAAGTCTATTTGTAGATATTGGCATATATATGTATGTATGTATGTATGTATGAAAATAAATTCTTATCAATCTTATAATTCTTATAAACACAATATCGCTAGAGTGTGTTTATTTGTATGTACGTACATACATACATACGGTCATAAAAATGTGCATGTCCATTTACTAGTGCATTTTCTATTTATAGGCACAGGAACCGATTACGAACCGAGTTGAAAAGCGATTAATATTCAAATTGAAATTAACGTTTTCACACCATACTAAATTACAAACATACATACATATGCACATACATACATAGATACATGTTATACAGTTGTTTTGTGTAAAAGGAAACTTGCTTTTTAATTTGCATATTGGCATAAGCTATTTATTTTTATACCACCACACACACTTACATACATACATACAGTCGTGCGTACATCTGTGTGGCAAAAAATAGGTACAAAATGCAAATAAGTTTTAATTGACTTGAATTAATCGCAATTCAAATGTTATTGTTATGCTATTGCGTTATCAATTTCTTCGCTGTCCCATGTAAGCGCACAATTTTGAGAAGAGGCCGGTACAAAGTCCACTGCGATTCCTTTCGTACTGCGCAATAGTGTAAACACCAGATTTGAATACATAAATATATAAATACGAATAAACGTTTTGATATCAGTTTCATATTTGACCATGTAAAGCTTAAGTAGGGTTCTCGTTGCATAATTTTAACTACGTGAAATGCTACTATTTTGAGTTGAGAAGGGAGTTATTTAAATTAGCTAAGCCAAATGTGGTTTATACCTAAAAATTTGATATAACAACCATTGTGGAACAAAAAAATATTTATGCAACAAAAAAGTGCGTGATTTATTAATGAAAGA